GAGAGTATATTGCGAACATTGTGTATAGTGAGGTAAAAAAGGGAGCCTGCATGTGAGGCATTCATAAAAAGTTTGTGTATCTACCTATAGACGTATTATTATTCAAAATATTCTACAGTTATATTACGTAATTTTGTTTATGATATTTGTAAATGTTTGTACACATATATGCATATACAAACAAAGATTAATGCGATTATGATTTCCAAAAAACCGTAATCAATGTAAAACGTAAGACAATAGAATAATATATTTCGTATTCTCCGTACATTTAAATGATTTAAAAGTGCTATTTACATTGCTAATGAGTTTGATTGTTATTTAACTGTTCCTAACTAGCAAGTTCTGGGAAACTTGATCCTCGTAGAATTAACATATTTCAGCAGGACACCTTGTCGCTGCATAAACAATATACCACAAAAATCTAATACAATACATAATTTTATTTAACTTCGATTTTAATATTTATAGTACAATTACAATATCCGTGTTCAATTGATCATTAAATTATATTATTTCAAACATGTAAGTAGGTTTATTAACGAAACACATTTTTCCATTTATATAAAGAAGCTTTCTATTCATTTTCTACACAAAATGCTTATAATTATCTATTGAATTGATGATTTAATATAAATATACTTGGCGTTTATTGATGCATAAGTTGAATGATAATTCAAATATTTTATTTAAATGACTCATAGAATAGAATATTTTCCTTGGAAATAATATATATTTAATGAAAAAACTTCAATTCTTTTATTTTTTTATTTAAGCTCTGTAACATTTGATAAGTTTTTTTTTTAATTTCCATTACAACTCAGTTTATTTTATTTCATTTTATATTCATTCATACTATGTTTTTATCACGTATACATTTCATCACAACATTATAACAATAGTATCGACGGTTCATTCATCACTTTTTTTTTGTCTGCCGTTACAGTTAAAAGCTATAACCACTTCAAATAACAAAAGCGTTTGCTGTTATAAATTGCAAAGTAACAAAATTGTTTGGCATAAAAAATATTTTGTAGAAAGCAGACATTGAATAAATGGTTACAACAATGAAGAAAAAAATATAACAAATAATATGTAGCTTATGGTAGGTATGTATGCAAAGTGTAATATTTTATATTTGTATTACAAATCTGGTATTTAAATCTAATACTATTTAAATCAACAATGAGTATTTAAGTAGGTATTGTATATTATAATTATAACGCATCAATAATTATATTATACTTCAACTGTACTATTGGTTTTTTTTAAAAATTTAAATTCTGCTTATTATGTTTTTTTAGATACATTTGCTAAAAATATTAAACTGCATTTGGTTTGTATAAAAATATAGGACCTATGTTGCTATTGCAGCAATGGGCAATAACAAATTAAAATCACTCTCCTTTTGTATGCAATATGCAGAATGGGTTGTCATATCAAATTAAAAATCAATCGGGCGTCGATATTTTTTTACACCAAATTAATATTGGCATTAAAATCCATGGTTTTTTGTTACGTAAAAACTGGAAGGTCCAAAGGTGGTGAAGAGTTATTTGTTCAGCATCAGAGCTATTTGTGTCTATCGTGTATGATAATAATCGTCTATTATAAGAGTCAATCCAGCTGAGTGTACCATCATCGTTGGTAGTTTTTTTTTATGTTATATTATTCAATAGGTATGATCAAGCGTATAAGAAAAAAAAACTAGAATTCAACGTCTAGGTGTCCAGTTAACCTAACCTTGTCTATCGGAAGAGTTCTGATCGGTCACGACTTATATTTTAGTTTATATTTTATTCATCGAGCTTATACTCAGAATAGATTACATCAAACTGTAGTACGATTTCCTTAAAGTCTTCCTGGCTAAGAAATGGGTTATAAGAATTTAATAGATTACATTTGGGATGAATCGGGACTGACCAAATACATAGTAAGACCAAAGTATTTAAAATCATTAATTTTCAGAGTCACATAGGTATTGGATAAAAAACATGGTGGGGGAAGAAGTGTAAGAAAAATAATTCTTGAATCTGTGGATGTTAATGGGATAAGTTAGTTGTTCGACACCTGTCACTTTATGTTTTCATTTAGTTGTGAAAGTTACTTATGGATGTTGATTCTAGTTACACCGAAAGATACAAATTTTGAAGACAAGCCATTCAAAAAACGTCAAATATTATAAGTATAAACAAAGACTATTAGTAATAACATTATACGTGAAAATTTTTTATGGAAATATATTGTTCATTTTTTAGATGGAAAATATTTGGCTAAAACTTTAAAGGTCAAATAAAAAACCAGGCGATAAAAATAAATCAGATTTTCTGATGTAAGTATCTCATTTATACCAGCGACATTATCATAGCAACAGTAAATTTTATTTTTAGGTACCTAGCTACTATTATTTGTTACCCAATGTATTCATGTAATAACTGATTTACATGTATTATATTCTTATATAGTTATATGCATTTTACAAAAAACTGTTTTAAATATATTATAGATACCTACTAATATTGGAATTTAGTATAAAATATAAATTGTTAGAGACATTACGTATAAAAATATTTAATTTTTAGAAGTATTTTTTTTTTTAATAATTGAACGATATATAATACGTGGATTAGAATATTTTCCAATATATTTATAATTATTTTAAATAAAAAACATAAGAAATCATGTTACTTTTTACTTTCATATTTTCAACCTTGTGTTTTTATTTAAAATATTGACAAGCAGATCATGGTAATAAGTGTATTTATTTATTTATGAAACATGAATAAAATGTAATTTATATAATTGCAATGCACTGTAACCTTATACATTTTCAGTATAGTAATTTACATATTTATACTGAAAATAACTAATCAAATTAAATAACATATAAAGAGTTATATATGGTAAAAAATAAATACGTATCAGTGTTCAAGTTGGCAAGGGAAATGAAAAAAATCGAATTATGTTATTGTTACGAGTGACCTAACTTTATCGAACCGTCTGTTTGGTATTTCCTTTAGAACTCGTCCTGCAATAATCACATCATATTTTATTTCACCAACGGCGATAACTGTCAAATTCGTTTCAACGTCGCATCATCACTCACCGTAATAATATTGTATGGATTAAACGGTATAGGCAACTGAATATGGTGAACAACATTATGAACGAAAAAAATTGTTAAAATTCCAATGCGACAATTTAAAACGAACACGCGTGATTGGTTGGTTTTGGTTTTGTTTTTTATTTTGTAAAACACGGTTTACGAAATAAATTATAAACATTAAACCTAAGATATCTCGCTTGCATCTAGACAACGCATAGTTGATTTGCCCAGTGATCAGTCAAATAGATCGAAATTCGCCCAAGGCTCTCAAAATGACGGTAAAATATTGATGATGATGATAACCATGATGACGACTATTAAAATATACGATCATGAAACAGTGTGGTAAAACTGTTTTCGTTCAAACAATACCAGTAACGGTAACGACAATAATTATTATAATCGGTCCATCCAATTTTAAAAAAATATAGAATTTAGGTAGTTGTAAATACTCGATAGCCTCCCTAGTGAAATCAAATTAGATCTTCTTCGAACACTTTTTTACAACGGATTATATGAAAATAGTATTGAATTGGTATCAAGATTCGGTTGATTGATAGTTAGGTCGATGATTAAGTCGACGAACAACAAAACGGCACTCGAGTAACAAATTGCAGTGATTCAAAATGTATATAGTTTACCTATATATTTATTGTTGATAATGTAATTTAGTAGTAGCTATTCATTCACCGAACATTAATCGTAAACCGGAACATTTACAATACTGCTTTGATCGATTAAGCGCAATGGAACAGATGAAACTATAATATTATTATGGTTAACAAAGCTCGCGAAGGGTGATAAAATGGAGTGAAGTGTCGTATCATTATCCGTAAATGTATCCATAATATGTCTATTCGTCGACTGTCGAGACGACACTGTAGAATATGTCAATTACTCGGCCATTATAGTCCCACACGTGGAACGGGGTGGGCACGGAGAACATTAGCGCCAGCGGACGACTTTCGGTCACTTAAACGATGTACTAAGTGTCAGATTCAATAGAAAAAGAAGGATCAAAGGATACTGAAAATTCAACAGAAGTCAAAGCGGATAGAATACAGTATATGACGTTATAACGCAGAAGTTCTGTTATGATAAGTCTATGCTAGACCTTGTAAAATGCTCGTTGCGATTTCAAATAGGATCGTGCAATTCGCGCTTTTCCTACATAAATGGACGCACGCAGTTGTTGAGAGTTTCGAGCCAAAAGGCCTGACAATTACGTGTGTTACAAATATCATGTTAATAATAATTAGGGCTCGGATTTATATGTAAATACATATTTTTACTGTGACTTGATAAATTAATTTAGGTAAGTGATAAATTCGTTTCAAGGGATTTCCAATAAAATGAACTATATTTTATTTTACATATTTTTACATATTTTGCCATAAGTACATGTTTTTACATATTTCTCAATAATTCCATTTTTCCTACATATTTCGATAATTTGTTCATTTACGATTTATTATTTATTAATACAGACTTGCCCATGTTTAAAAAAGTACAAAATAATACTGTAGAACTTTCTCCTTCAGACATAGTCAACGTGCAATATTGTCCTATAACATCAGTCGAAGTTGAGAGATCTTTCAGTCGATATAGATCAATTTTACGACATAATCGGCGATCTTTCGAATTCGAAAATTTAAAAATGCATGTCATTATTAATTGTAACCATAATAATTAGATAGTTAGATAAATAATTTTTTTTATTACATTTCATTTTAATTAATAATAATATTTTTTTTTTTGATAATACATATTATTATAAATTTTTTAGCACATATTTATGTACATATTTTTGCTGCATAAATACATACTCTGGTTAAATAAATACATATAAATCCGAGCCCTAATAATAATAATTTAATCCACTACTACGACATACCTGTCCAGAGCGATGGCGGTTATGGTGCACGCGGACACGGTTATGTTGGCGCCCTGGGCGGCCGGAACCGTCTTGCACATGATCAGGCCCCACGTCCAGCGGCGGGACATGAGCGCCCACAGCGTGAACGGCATGCACACCACGCACATGATGATGTCGGCGAAAGCCAGATTGACGATGTACAGGTTGCGGGGCGAGGGTCCCTGGCTGGGCACGTTCTTCTTGCCGCACTGCCGGAACACGACGAAGCACACCAGCCCGTTGGACACAAGCCCGATGACGAACAGCACGCCGTACGCGACCACGATGGCCACCTCCAGGTACAGCACCAGAACCTTGTCCATGTTCACCTGGTTCTTGAATATCGCGTCCAGCGCCAGCTGCACTGTGAAGTTGAACTGGCCGCCGGCGTTTCGATCGCCGCCGCCACCGCCGCCGCCGCCCCCGTCGAAGGTGCCGTTCGGGCCGTAGAGACCGGACCAACCGTGGTCGCCGTCACCGTGGTCGCCGCCGCCACCGCCGCCATTCACGGACGTCTCGATCAGCGTGGTTACCATGGTCATGAACCAGTCGTGGTTGTGAAGTTTGGGCGGGTTGAACATAACGGTGCCGGCCGGCGAATCACTCTGACCTCGAGCGAGTCGGTACCGCGTCCGGCGTCCGTCCGATTTTGATTTCCGGTCGTTTCTGATCGGATTTTCGTGTATTTTACCGTCCGCCCGAAGTCATCGGAGTCACATGAACGCCCGCGAGTCCAGAAAACGGTCCTCTACCAGTAATATCGTGTCAGTCGTCGAACCACCTGTAACGAAAAACCGCAAACATGAGAACTGTATAGTCGGTTCAATGTGGGAGGGGGCAGTGACAGCAGCCCTCGGGCCTCGTGCTGCAAGTCATACGAGTCACAGAATTTGTCATATTTGTATTAATACTATTATCGAACAATATTTAGTTTTTTTTTCGAAAGCTGTATCCAATTTTAAGTTGTAGATACAAATCGTCCATTGAAATACGATGAGAGGCTCTACTATTAAAGTAGTATCACATTTTATCGATATTAATTTGTCGTTTGGTAGATAATACCTAAAATAGTTATAGTGCACTGATATGTACATAGTTATTCTAAACTGACCTGTTATGGTACATCATCCGACCAAGTTAAAATAATTTTAAAGTACTTAGCAGAGGAGAGAAACTGCGATTAATTAAAAACGTCCTCGTTATGACTTGTACAACAAAAATAAACTATATTTTTATGGTTTTACTCTGGGTTGGGTCAGGTCGGTTCGGATCAGATGAGGTCAAATCGGAAAGAGTACGTGCCAAGGGACGCACGTGGTTTTTGAGATTACAGAAATTACTCCCCCCGCCCTCTACCTATACGCGGAGACGATGCGAAAACCGTTCGACGGTGATTTATATAGTTTGTCCTAAATTGGTTTTTGTTTTCGAGTTCAGGCTGTTTACGATCGTGCTTTTTGCTCTCCCGCTAATGGATTCTTCGTTTCGTTTCTCCGGACGTTCCCGATATTATCCGTTTATAAAATACAATATAATTTTGTTTTTACAATTGTTTGTACAAACTCAATTTACTATGGTGTTGGACGCACGACAATTTACGGGTCATTATTTTACGGGGATCATCGACGACATTTTATGACAAAAGACAACGAGAGAAAAACGTACAATTAATTTCAATTGCCAACACGTCAAGAGAAAACTAATTTAATTTGTGGCCAACAAATTGGTTAAACATTTTTCTAAAAATTATAACTTGGGAATAATATACACATCATATATGTTATTTATTAAACGCATGTCACTTATTTTATAGTTAATTCAAGTGACTTTCTGGTAAAATACTGTTACGTATTCAATAATTAACCTTCAAAAATGGAATTCAAAATTCAAAAGTCCATTAAAAGTGCCCATCTCAAGACAAATATATTATGCGACATAGGAATTGAGAAGACGTCGAAGAACACAAATCGATGTATTTTATTTAAAATAAATGACAATTAATTCAACTATTATTTCGTTTTTTTTTTACATGAATTATCGATAACACGTTATAGACGAAATTCTAATTTAAAATATGATCGAACTTGTTCTTTTAATACTGCTATAGACTCATCCTATTTTTTTGCAGACACCTATGCCAATGATTTTTTTATGATGATGGGATGATGAAATCCACACATAAATCTCCATTGTGTATGTACTTACACTAATAAATTATATGTATACATAATATATATATAATATATATATATATATCTCATATATTGTATATGTTACCACCAAAGATAATATTTAAGGCAAAGTTTAAACTTTAAATTAACTAGAAATTATAAATGCATATTGAGTTGTCGGATAAAGTTTAAAGACACCATTTATTGATTAAAGCTAGGTGACATCAAGTTACATTTATATTACCGACAAAAACTCAAACGAGCAGTGTCAGCCAATATGTAATAATTATACTGTTCATAATAAGTTTTACAAAATAAATAAGTTTTTCTGGCAACTAAAAATGTTACCTAATAAAATAACGCCATTTAACTATTATTAATTTTAGACTCGGAACGAATTTTCAATTTTTTTTATAATTTTATTAGGACGCCCACATTATAGAACTGTTGTCTTGACCTTCATAAAAAACCAAAGTCCACTGGACAATGATAGACGACTATATAGAAACAGCAGAAAGTAGAGAACTATGTAAGCACTCAGGAATATAACCATCCCACGAGGTTTTAAAAATGTTATTGTAAAATTAAACAAAATATGAGAAAAAATAAAAAATTTAACGCAGGAAATATATTGTTTAATTTTTATTAATAATATTTGTTCAATGTTGTTTTATTAAAGAATACTACAATTTTCTTATTTGTTCTTTATATTCAACAATATCAGATTAAAAAATAAACAATATCACTATCAGTAATTCAAAAAATATATTAATTGTTCATTTTTTTTTTTTTTGGTTGAAACTTGAAACATCAGTTTTAAAATTGATTATTAGTCGCCAGTCATAACAATTGAAAATTAGATATCGTTATTATTGAATGGAATATATTTACAATAATATTTATTTGAGTTTTTAAAAATATTTATAAAATAAACATTTAGATGGGCAATCTTTACGAAAAATCATCGAGGTATTTGTTCGCGAGATTAAAAAAAAACTGCCCACTTTTATAAATCAATACAATCAATTGATTATTATTCATTGCTTGAGATAATACGAGTAAATCCTTTTTTAAACAATAACCTGTTATTTATTAGAAATAAATACTGTTCACATTTAGTAATTAAAATATTTAAGTACATAAAACATCCTTCCACGTATCATTGATGAATATTATTCGTAAAATTAAACCTTGAAATTCATCGTAATGCCCTATGAAAACGTTACTCTCTTATATGTGAAATATTTATACATTGTGGCGACGTATTTCGATTAATAATATTTTAAACATTACATCTATCGTGCGTTTAAACATTTTCAGCTTAAGTTTTAAAGTATTTTATTCCAACCAATATATTATTTATTTAGAGTGTATACGAACATTTTTTTCGGTTTATTGATATTCAGCACGGACCAAGATGTAATGAACTGGTATAGAAACGTTATTTTTAGACCACAAATAGGGTTGAAGAAAACGTGCGGGGGGCTTGTGAAAGAAATATAATAATATGATGATCAGTGATATCTATAATGAAGTTATTTTCGTTTACCATTTCTGTGAAACAGTTCAACAAAATAAAAATAAAAATAATTTGATAATTGCAACCAATAAATTACGCAAATATGAAATTATAGACGCATTGACGAATTGTACATATTTACATACATAAGGGTACCTAATGAGTATTATATATCTAAACTTATGAAAGTAAATCCACCACCACAGATGCTTTGATAGTTTCATATTTCCAGTTATAAAAGGAACACTACGATACTATTGAAGGAGAAAAGATATAGGAAATACCATTTCTCTTCCCTCGCCTTCAAGTCGCTTTTAGTTAATTATATCTTAGTCCTTGGTACTCGGTAAAATTAAATAACACGGTTTAATATCAATTATTCGACTATTTTATTCAATTATCATTAGTTATCCACCTCATTCACCAACCATAGCCGCCATTATTACTTGTAGAATATAGAAAATTCCACCGAAATCGTATTCAACAAATTGATTGACTTATTTTAATCATTTTTTTTAAACAAATTTTAATTTACATTAGTTTAAAATGCTTATTAGGTAAATATATATATTAATATTTTACATTATATTCGAGTATTTATTATTTGAATGATGGATTAAAATTTTTTTTTTTTTTGTTGCATCCATCTAATATAGAATTATCTATCAACCTTTAGCTAAGTTATGGCTGAATAATCAAAGTCGTATCTTATTAACATTCAAATAATAGTATCTAAAAAGATGTGTGATTAAAGTTAGGGAGATACTGTTAATTATTATTTCTATAATGTTCTAATTTTTTATATAGGTGCATTTTACTCATTAACCTAAATCACCTTATAAATGTAAACAAATTACTACGTTAACTGTATAATATCAAGGAGAAAAAGTAATGTCTCTAAAATTGCTGTTTTTAAGCCATAAAGTAATTAATTTAGGTGATTTTTATTCTGCGTACCTATATTCTACATAGTAGTAAACAAAACTAAACAACCACGTCTTCACATCTCAGTTTAAACAAATTGAAGCATAATGAGACTATATTTTATACACAGGAAAAAAGTAATTAGTTGAAAAACTAGGTATAGTTTTATTGAATTTGACAAATGTTAATATTAGTTCCAAAACTTTTAAATTAATTAGTAGTTAAAATATGCTATAAGAATAACCGATTCACAAACAATTTAACAGTTTTAGTTTTCTATGATTTAAACCACATTGGTTGTTACGAATAAGTACCTACCTAGTTACTATGACTTCATACTTAAGTTTAAACTTGATGATGAACATTGCAATGGTCTAAATTGCTGAGTAATTTTTAATAATGTGTCATACTTAATCAATGAAATGTGCAGTAGCAAATTAAAAAGATTGCAGTACTATATTAAACGGTTTTGCACACTACTTGGTCCATTATTTTAAAATATTTTAGTGAGTGGAATAAAATGTACAGTTACAAAATTTGTGAATTTCAGGCGTTAGAGTATACTTTTGGTAAATATTTTCTATTTGGTATGCAATGGTCCATTTATACTTTCAAACTAGGCTGACAGTTGTGGTTTTAAAATAGTTCAGAAAATATTATTTTATTATATATTTCTTTTCAAATTTTGATGTGGATCGATATCTGTATCTTTTTAATTTTTACATTAATAGATATGATAAAAAAATCCAATTCATAATTTTTTTATTTAACTTGGCTTTTGTAACAGATTCTATGAATTTAAAGCTATTAGACATTTATCCATTTACATGTTTGTGCATAAATAGCATCTATAAGTTTACACATTTACAATAATAACAACAATAACATTGTTTTTCTCTAATAAATAAAATAAATGTCTACTGTATCAACTATTAAAGTCAACTCCGTCCGTTTATCCAGTCCAGACGCTTCAAGGAAGGAAGGATAGTTTATTATTGTTGTGCTGGGCCCGATTATTATATAAGTTAGTTGGAACCATTTCTATTGTTCATTGGTTTGATAGAACAATAAATTGGTTTCAAATCACGAAACGATGTTATTATTATGAACTAGTACGAACATAAACGTGATGTTTTCAAGAACTCTTCGTTAGATAAAAAT